TGTTACAGTTCACACAATTATTTAATGTGCTCATCACTTTTTTAGTAGATCCAACTACCCAGTATTTTATTTGTTACATTTACCTTTCATAAACATGAAAGTATAGCAAATATAAACCTTAATTTTGGTGTTAGGAAAATTTTATGCACAAAATTAAATAAAGGAGTATTTAGTCTACATTTCTTTCTTGTTTTCATCATTTCTTAGTTTGAAGCCCTGTCAAAAGTCTGAAATAGCAGAGGTATAAATCTCAAAGGCTAGAATTTTTCTAAGTTGAAAAATTAGAATCACCTCACAACCGCTTCAGTCTTTAATTTCATAATTAGATCAAGTGGTGCAAAATACATTTATAACATGCATATAACATCTACACCTCTACATTAAATGCTAGTAAGCAACAAAACATTATAAAAATGTTACTGTTAAATAAAATAGATGGCATATGATAGAAATATCAAGGCACAATCTAAGAAATTGGGAGCAATAGATGAAATTTATCCTAAATCATTACCAGAGACCAAAAGCAGCCACAAAAACAGGCACACAAATATGCTATTTTTCTTACCATCTGAAAGAATATTCCCACACCACAGCAGCATGAAAGGGAGATAAAATTTTAGTTGACGATTTTTGCAACACAAACTTAACGAGCAAATTCTGAAACTCTTCTCAGTATGAGTATAATGTTTCTATTTTAACAGAATCATTCAACAATAGGCCCATCCTCGTAGGGTAGCTACATATGTATTTTTCTTTACTAGAAAGCCCAGGGAAAGAATGATGGTGACCAACCAGGATGATAAGGAGTATTAGAAGAAGTATCATAAGAATTCCACATGCCTCTAGCCCTTCTAATTAAATCACTATATCCAGAAATAAATTTGCATTGGTTTGAATAGGTAAATACCAAACCAAGCTGCAGCCAATGAGGAGAAATCAGAGAATGAGATGAATGTAAAGTTAATCTATTTATTGAGATTTACTGAGTAAAAGCTCTGGTTAATGATGCTTTGAAAATATGCCTATATTCTTTACCATATCCTTAACTTAAAATAAAAAAAGTCTATGAACATCAATAAAAACTGAAGACTAATCTTCTACATCTATTTTATTTCTACATTTGTTTCAATTAATCATGAAGGGACAGAGACTAAAGTTAATTTTTTTTTTGTAAAAGGGCAGTAAAACTTGGATGAATCCATTATAATGAAGTAAAGTTTTTAGTGGCCATATACAGATTCATGACAATAAAAAGATGACATGGATGTGGAAAATACAAATATATATATCTTCTAAGAGTAAGACTCAGAGTACTCTTAGTACAAGCATAAAGGTCCCAAAAAAATGCAACCTGATTTTCTATGGGCTTAAGAGGCTGAGAGAGGATGCCCACCGAATGTGAGCAGGACAAAACTGAAGGGAAGAAAACACAGTACCACAAGTGTGCAGGTTCACATAAGGAGACTGAACAGTGATTTTTTATCAGGTGCCGCTAATTATGCTTTATCTATTAAAAAAATATTAGGTACTCACCACTCCACTACAAGACTTGGTTTTCACGTCTATTTTAACCATGCCAAACCCTAGACACACACACAAAAACACAGCTATGTAAAAAATGCAACATTTGCTCCAGTTTTTACAACTTGGAAATCATGAAAATGGTACACAGTATAGGCAAAATACACAGTATTCTCATTAGGAGAGAGTTCCCCAAGCAAGGGAAATACAACAAAATAGCAAGTATAAATTTTAAGCTCCTCAAGAGAACACATCTTAAAAATATAAGATAAAGAACAAATGAATGAGACATAAAAAACATGTACTATTTTAACAACCAAAATTAACAGAAATATTATGTTAATACAAGCTTATAACTTCACTAATTAGTAAGAAAAAAATCAAATGTGTTCAGTACAAAAAAATAAAAATTTAAAGAATAAATTTTTAAATCTAAAAAGAAATGTCTATTTGGAATCAAAGAATATATGTTACTCCAAAGAAGTCAAAGTAATGCCTTCACTCTCATGAAAACATTGCCATTGTTTGGAGGCTGAGAATGTACCCCACCTCAACTTTACTGTTCCCTAGGGGAGACAAAAAAATATTATAGATTTATATTACTTCATCTTATAGATAATACTAAATATGCATATGCATGTGTATATGTATTTGTTTTTAATGCTTGTAAGGGACTATACCTCTACAGAATGAACTCTAGCAACTTGTTAATAGTTATCCCCTTAAAACCTTGTGAAGTAAATTAACGTTGACTTAACCTCATTTACTACCACAGTATCTTGCGGAGAACAGGCATTCAACACTAACCCTTACTGAAATAGGAAATTAACAATAGCAATGCTTACCATATCCTTTGTTGAAGACATCCTTGGCGGCCTTTCCTAGGTCACAGTAAGTTGGTGCGTTACACATATCTTATGAAGAAAAACAGGGACAAAGGAATAAAAATAACCATTTAATACTTACTCACAGGACTAAATGATAGTCCTGTGCATAGTTCTACCCTTTTGTGTCTATCCCAACAGTTCTCTTCCTTTGCTCCACTAATGCTTATACCCCAATGCAAGCAAAGTTAAGAATGGCATTCTACTCCTTTAGAAAGAGCTTTCCAAAACTGAAGAATAAAAAGGGTTTTTTTTTTCATGAGATTCACAAAGGCCTTCTTTCTGACTGCATTTCAAAGATAAGAAATCTCTCACAGGCTGAAGGACATGCTCTGGTACACTGGACTTTTTACTTGAAAAAAATATGCCAAATTTACATTGGAAAAATATTTCTTGGGCTCTTATAAAGCCAGAGGTGTATAAGGTGAAAAGGTGTATAAGGTGAAAAGGTGAATTTTTTAAAGAACTGTTAGATGCATGAAAAATCTTCTGGGTTAACATTTTTGCCACTCTGAAATTCAGTTCTTGTAGGAATTACCACACTAATTGAAATATATCATCCAGAATATGTCCTCTCTCAAAGCCCTGTTTAAAATAAAGTGATATAATCTTACCCATTAGCCAAATTTGGGTAGATTCTACCTGCAGTAATCTGCTTACCAAAAATTGGTGTGCACTCCAAAGTTAAAGCTTTCAAAAACCTGAGGAACCTTCACTTTTCATCTTGCCTACTTAGTACTCACCCAGGTCTTCTACTGCCATGTGACCCACACATCAAAATTCTCAGAAGTTCTAACAACACCACTGAGCATACCATCCCTTTGCCCTCTCTGTAAGATGGGAAACCTTTTCCTGCAGCGGCCTCAGAAACCATGTGTAATCAATTGAAGAACAATCTCAAGGAGCCCCATTAGCCCAATTACTATACCAGAAAAATCCAGAGCACCAGCTAGCCCTTGCAATTACTATCCCCAAACTATCTGCATATTCAAACTAATATTTATTTAGCCTAGCTCTTAATCTGGTCGTTTGATGAATTTCTGACTATGCCATCAGACCTGAAACATAACACACACTTAATGGTGCACTTAATTGTAAATTCATTTAAAATTTGTTCCTTAAATGAAACCTGTCAAATATGAGGAGGCATCATGATGTGTGAGGACAGAATATGGTATAAAAATATATAAACTTAAGAGGAGAGAGTATAATAAAGATGGAAGACTCCAAAATACTGACTCATACCGCATAGAGCTTTGTTCTAAGCCACAGGGTTTCAGAGTTCACTTCCAGAGTAATTATTTTGCATTCAAATGGTCAATTCTAGACTTTTTATACATTGCCAATTGCAATTTGATATTACTCTTCATGATCACAATGGATGCTAGTATTTGTTGAAATCCTGCTAGAAGTCTGTAACTTGGGAAATATGGAAAAGCAGACAGTACATATTCAAATAGAGATGTTAAGCCTTCAGTCTGGTTTTTCATCTACTGAAAGAAAAAAGATACACTTTAAACATCCAACCAGGGACTAATCACCATCTTTTAGCATTCTGCTTCGTTTTTCAAAACGGCCAGACACTGAAAGTCGTGTCTAGCTGGTTTAGTTTATTAACTGATCTCAGTTCTGCCTAAGTTCAAGCTTACTTTATCAGGCCCCCGATTCTGACGGCAAATGCACTGCCGGTATGATCAAGCAAAAAAATCGCGAAGATACAGACTTCACCTTACTCGAGAGTAAACTTATCATCACATACTTCTATTAGCTCTACGAAATGCAAATGTTTGTACACGTGCACAGTGTAACGAGGTTACATGAGACGCAGACGGGAGGGGAAGAGGCGTGAACTAGGGAACACTGCTTTACACAATTACTAATTTGGCAGTCAATAAAAAGCCCTTTTGTTCCCGTTTCGCCTCTTTAAGTTGCACAGAGAGCATCCTCCCTCGGGTGGTAAGGGTGGAAGAGCTCCCAGATACTGGACAATTGCGGAGAGGAAACTGGGGGCGGGGTAGGTTTGGGGTCCGAGGATCCCACTTCCCTGAACCAAGCTCCCTCTGGCCTGACGCCCGAAGACAGCCCTGGGGGAAGGTCGCGCGCTGGGCGCCCCCCGCCGATGCTGCAACCTCATCACCTGAGGCGGTCAGGGAATCCAGGTCCCCGCCGCCCTCAGCGGCGGCGGGGCCCGAGCCCCGGGAGGCTGCACTCCCCCTCCCGCGCCCCCCGTTGGGCCCGCACCCAGGCAGGTTCCGTACTCGGAAGCGGGTCCCCGGCCCCCTGGCCCTGCCGCCGGCGTCACGGACCACGGCCCCAGCTCTCCTCACCTCCGACTAGAGGACCTGACCCCACTCGGCCAGAGAAACGCTGAAGGTCTTCTTCAAACCAACGCATTCGGCGCCTGCGCGGCTTGCTCCCCGCGCAGCGCCTGCGCGCCCCTCCCTGCCCGCCCGAACCGCGTTTGCGCCGTAGGGTCGCGCCGGGGTCGCGCGCCGCGGGGTTGGGCGCAGAGAGGAACAGCAGCTGCGAACCAAGTCCGCTAACCGTCTGGCTACATGCGCGCGCGTGCGCGGCAGAGCCCAGCGCGCAGGTGGCTGGGGCGGGAGAGGCCTGAGCGGGAGAGGGCTGCAGAAGAGTCCCTGGAGGGGCCCGCTCTCGCGAGATCCCTGGAAGTTACTAGTTACTGTTGCCCAGAGAGGGGCGCGCCGGAGGACCGGGGACTCCAGCGCCGAGCGCAGTTGGCCTGACACGTCACACCCAGACAGTTTCATCCTCTGGCGATGCTTTGAAAGTCCTTACGGAATTTCATCCCTGATGACTAAAATTCAAGAACTTGACCCTTAGGTCATCCCATTTTAAGGATGAGAAAACGCAGGTCCTGAGGGGGTAACTGACGTGACCTATTCCCGATCACCCAGGTAGCGGTAGATTCTAATTGGAAGGGCAGAGGAGCTGGAGGAGGGAAGCGCCTCTGGAGGAGAGAACCAACTGGTAAGTGAAGAAATTTCAGGCACTGAAAATTTCCACTTCGGAACCACCAATAATTGGTTCAGGCAAAAATGATCAATAGATGCTGGGCACTACAGTTTCAAAGTGTCACCCTACAGGTTACTTACTAAAGAAGAAAGTATCTTCGCGTGAGAGAGATCACGGCCAACTAGGTACTCCAACACAGCGTGGCCGGAGAGCTCCCGGACGTGACGCGGAGCGGACGCGAAGACAACGGCCCGGCCAACGTGTGTAATTTGTCTCTACTCACGAGGAAACAATCGGACGAATCAAAATTGAGACATGCTGCAACACAACCTCCTGGTTTCTTCTAAAATGTAAATTTCATGAAAAAGTAAGAAAAAAGCTTAATGAACTGTTGCCAGATTAAAGGAGACAAAAGAAAGATGTGGCATTCATTACAAGCAATGTGATCCTACATTGGACCATGGATCAAAAACAAACAAAATAGCTATTGAGGAACATTACTGGGACAATTGAGAACATTTGACTATAGATCATATTAATATTACAACAATGTAACATTTTCTGAGGGCAATGGTTGTATCTTTGTTAGGCAGAAACGCCTTGTTTTTAGGAGATACCCTCTGAAGTGTTCAGAAGTGAAATAGCATGTGTCTACAACTAAAATGGTAAAAAAAAATGAAAAATGTACAAAATGTTAACTGGTGAATCTAGGTAAAAGATGTATGGGTGGTCAGTGCATTATTCTTGGAACTTTCCTGTAAGTTTTTAAATGTTCAAAATAAGTTGGAGAGAAAAAAAACTCCACAAAATCCTTGATGTTCAGTCCATAATACCAGGTTGCTGCTTAAATCACTAGGCAATGGCAAATAGCATTGTTTGCCTCCCATGTGTAATGCATTTCAGGCTAATAAGAAATAAGGAACATAAATGCTCCCAAAGGACTCTTAATGTAGAACTTGGACAGATACCTGCCGAATGCCAAATATGATCAATGTAACAAGCAAAGCAGTATAACTTAGCTGAATAAAATTAATGTTGGAGTTAAAAGAGGCTGGGTTTGTATTTCAGATCAGGGAACTCTGTGGTCTTAGGCAAGCAACTTCTCTATGTTGCAGTTTCTACATCTGTGAAACAAATGAATCTCCTTAGAGAATTGTAATAGATAGTCAATGAAATGATGTTTCCATAGCACCTAACAATCTACCTGGCATATGGAAAATGTTCATTAGTTAATAACAGATGAAAATTAATAGGCTTAAGAGTTGAGAAGCTATATATATATTTACACATATATGAATATTGGAGCCACAACTTCAGCCTGTACTTTGACACAGACCTGGCCTTGATCGGGTGGAGCAGGCCATTAAAGGCTGTAAAGAGCACTTTGAAGGGGAATTTGGCAACCTTCCTTCCTTCAGCTGCTATTATCCAAAGGTCTTTCTTTCTGACACCAGTTCCGGGTCATGCACAGAGACTGCCTCCCTCTCCCAACACCTGGTAAGGAAAGGTGATGAGAAAAACCATCAAGGGAAACAGCTGCTGCAGAGGGGATCTCGCCCTCGGACCCTGTCAACTTCGCTGGATCCAGGTTGACACTCAACGTCGACGTCAAGACTGGTCTTGGCCACCTGGAAATGACAGCCAGGACTCACTGCCCCACCCCCACTGGGATCTAAACTCTTGGGAAGTGGAGAAAGGAATTTCTCAGTCCGAATCCTAATAATGTGGCATTCTTGTATTAGAAAATCTCTATCATCAGAATTTTAGAGCAGGGAAGGGTCCTCAGGGTCCTTCCCTTGGAGGCATTTGCTAAGCGCTTACTGTGTATGGGCACCGTGCTCAGAGCTACTGTCTGAGAAAGTGCCCCAGCCTGTCAGTGCTCTGTGGGTCCAAAGACCCAGGGAGGTGGGATCACATAGGGAGCAGGTTCCCAGTACAGGTCACCTGTTCTAGTCAAGATAACCTGCTGAACTGCCTATGTTGCCTTTTTGAGAGAAAAATCTCAGAAGGTTAACATAGTTTTGCCCTGAGAAATGAAAGAAACAACCGAGGATGGAAGCCCCACTGTAAAGACTTGGTAGCTCAATTATACTGAGTGTAAGAAAAATTAAGATTCTGTTGCCAGGGTGTTATTTAATTCCCCGTATTTTTAAAAGAAAAGGGCACCCTTGTTTGTTTTTAGGGGCTCCAAAATTCTGATAAGAGGTGAGGTCTCCTAGTTACTGAGCACTGAAGGCATCTCTAAAGCCACGTGGCTGGGGCTTCTACAAGGAGGCAGCAGAACACAGGACTCAGCAGCAAGGACACCTAACTGTGCCCCAGGGGGACTGCAGGCTTCCCTGAGGAAGGGATGGCTCACAACGGTTTAGGCAGAGCCATTCCCCACGTCTAAGAACTCATCTCAAGGAAATAACCATAGATTTGTGCAAAGATTTATCTTGAATAGCTTGAGTGATGTAGAGTAGCAAAAAATTAAAAATAACTGAAAGGGCCGGCATTTAGAGGATTCATTAAGTAAATAATAATACATCCATATTCTGGGTTATGGCACAGCCATGTGTTCTGATAATATTTGATGATCTGGAGGAAAAGGTCAGTGGGAAAAAAAAGGAGGAAAAAATTATTAATACAGCACAATCCCAAATTGTGTGTTTGTGTGTGTGTGTGTGTGTGTGTGTGTGTGTGTGTGCGCGCGCGCGTGCGCATGGTAATTTCAGTTTAGTAGAAGGAATGGGGTAATAACCACAGACACCCATATGTAGGTACAGATGGACTGGGTAGAGGTGGCACACACGGGGTGACTAGACAGTACTAATGGTTAGGTGATAGGTTAATTATATTGTATATTAAATGCTATGTGTGTATATGTATAAGTAACTGCATAGAATCAAAATTGGGAGAATTTTACCAAAATTTGACTGTCTCTGCTGGGTCAGAGTCTTATGTGACTTTGTAGTTTCTTGTTCACACTATTCTGTATTTTCCAAAATGTCTAAAATTTGGAAACAAGTGTTTCTGTTAGAATTAGAATTCTAAGTTAAGCTCACTTTCATAAGGTGGGGAAGCACCTAGGTTTATGAGGAAAGGCCTATTCTGTGGGGGATTTCCACCCCAAATTGGGCCTGCCTCCCGCATCCAGTACCCAGGGTTTGCTTAGTGTTCACTTCACTCTTGACCACAAGGGGGTGCAAAGCAACAGTGTAAAATCTAAGCCTGCTGCTTGGCTGGGGCCTGGGATTCCCAGGCAGTGTGATGACCCTCACACGCCCCTTGCTCCCCAGAGCCTAATCCGAAGTCTTCATGAGGCTGTAAACTCAGTTATGAATCCTACAGGATTGGATGGTGTGTCTGGGGGCCTCCCGACCACACTCAGAGTCTAAGTAAATGTCAAAATATTTTTCTTGTTTGTTATATTTGGCAGCAAATATTCACAAGTTGTTTGCATGAGGAAACCAATGTTGATAATGTACCACATGTGGATTAGGGTACAGCCTGGCTGACAAAAACTGCGAGTTCTTTAATCTTAACCACTTCCTAGGGAAGGACTTTGATGGCATTTACATAGAGGGGGACAAGGTGACATACTCCTATAGTTGTATGTAATCCAAAAACAGCAATGGGCAGTGTTCACTGGGATCTTATTTCTTATTGAACATAGAGCCAGGTTTCAAGTATCTTGGTATGTGTGGGAAGGGACTCCAGTTAATGAGCTGCGTAGTGTGGCACAGAGGCCAGAATAAACTTTGGAACCAGAGAACCTATTTTTAAATCCTGGGTCTACAGCTAACAGCTGTGCGACCTTAGGCAAATTACTTTACCTCTCTGAGTCTCTGTGTCTTCATTTTTAAAATGGACATTCCCAGAAGTGAACCCCTGGTCAAATGGGGTGCACTCCAAGGGCTCCAGCCACAGATAGCTTTCTTTGGCCAAGGTTCTAAGGAGACCCAGGACACACCCAGGGAGGAGCCTGGGGCAGAGAAGGCCAGATCACACACAGAGAGTCGGAGTCATCAGGACACTCAGGAAGATGGGACAGCCCGACAGGGGCAGGCAAGGGGCCATGGTGAGTCTGAGGGAAAGGATAGCAGAACGAGGTGGGAAGGATACCAGAACTCTCCCTGGGGAGAGTCATCCTGGGAAATGCAGGAGGCAGCCTCTTCCCTCCAGGAGGGGATTCCTGAGCTCATGTGTGCAGAGCCCATGGCTAACTATTTTTTTCCTCAGCTTTATTGAGATATCACTGACATACACTGTAGTGTAAGTTTACAACGTGGTGATCTGATATGTGTATATATCTCAAAGCGCTCACCATGGGAAGGTTATTCAATCCATTCATCACCTCACGTAATTACCACCTCATTGTTTTGGTGAGGACATTAAAGCTCTGTTCCCATAGCAAGTTCATGTGCACCATACAGGATTGCTAACTGTCATCCCTGTAGCTGTTCATTTTTTAAAATGTGCTTCTTCAGAATTGGAACTCCAGGCAGGTTTGGGGTCTCCTAATGCAATGGGATTCACCCCTACTGTTCAGGGGAAAGAATCAGACCCAGTTTGGTCTGCATCTTGAAGCCTGGACAAAAGATGACAGAACCTATTTTGTTCTGAGGAAGAGGTTGCAGGCCAGTAAGAGTCCCCTTTGCTTGCTCCCCAAAGTCTCTGCCCCCAAAGTCAGGCACAGGTTCAGGCTGAGTCTTTGATCCTTTTCCTCCTTCTACACCACCTCCAGCTGCCCACTGACCAGACACTCCAGAAAGGCCCTGGGCTGGTTCCACAGGGCATCTCAGATCGCAGGCCTATGTGGTGGAGTCCACTGCCCCAACTCAGCTACCGCAAGGCGACAGAGGCACCCGGCTTGCCACGCCCTTCCCGCTGCGCATGCCACCTGGACACCTTTAAACTCAGCAGGACATTCAGATTATGGGAAAGAGAATAAGTGGGTTTAGTTCTGGGGATGAGAAAATAATGAACATAATGAAGAGAAAGGCAAAAGAGAGACTCAAAGGGTGACAACATGGGAGACAGAGGTGTAAAGTGGGACCACAGATCTAATGGAAAAGAATAGAGATGGGTCCACTCAATTTTATAGGTTTCTGTCCAGCCCTTCATGCCCTCTACCTGCCCGCACTGTATTCTCTATTAAATCATAATCAGTAAAGATGATAAAACAAGGAGAACTCTTGGAACTTGCTTTCCAAGTTTTCCTTCAAATGAGGGAATTTCATAGGCCCAAATCCTGAAAGGGCCTCAGGAAGTCAGCCATAAACTCCTTTAGAAACATAAATACAGTTCAGTTTGAAAAAAACACCGAAGCATACATGGTCAGTAGAATGCTCTGGGACTCGTCGTGGGGGACGGAAGGACATCATTGTCGCAGCCAGCAGGACCGACACGGTCTGCCCGACCCCACACGTCCTCTGCTCAGGTCCGAGTCCGCTGACTGATGACAGGCATCGTTGTTTTCCAGCTACTGCGTGCTGGGACACGGTCGGCTTCTCTTTACCTTTTCTTGCCTCTTCATAGCAGCATCTGTTGCCACATGTGCCCCCCTATGTTTCGTGTTTCGTGAGCATGTCCACGATCACACGCGTGGAGGGGGGAGGGCGTGGCTAGGGGCAGAATGCTTGTGTCCCCCAAATGCCCACGTGGAAATCCTAGGGGATCGTTTCAGGAAGTGGGGACTTTGGGAGGTGTTGCCCTGAGGGCGGAACCCGCATGGGTGGGATTAGTGACCTCGTGGAAGAGCCCCCGAGAGCCGCCCTCCCCCTCCGGCTCGTGGGCGCACCTGAGGGTGCCCCTGTGGGCGGGAGGCCGCGCTTGGGACTGTGAGGATCAGCTGTTCATAAGCCGCCCCGGCTGTGCTGTTTCAGCTTCCAGAACGGACTCTGGTATGGAGGGCCAGGGGCAGGTGGGTGGTTATGGCATTGAGGATTCATGAAGGCACATACAACCTCATCTAATTTTTTTGAGGGAAAATAAGGTAGGGCCTGTCCTTGAAGAAGGAAGCTCATGGATTCTTCTTGGTAGCTGGTGCCCGGAGGGGTACCGGCAGCTCTAAGGCTATTGCCTAGCAAAGGGAGCTTCCCGACACGGCCGTGTGGCGCCCCCCCAAGGGGGCCACTCACGCGCACCACAGCCTGAAAGTGTCCCTGGCTGCTGGGTAGCATGGTGCCGGGCTACCCATTATACGCTCCCGGGCGGCTGGCCCGTAAGCCCGGTGAGGGGCCGAGGCTGAGAGGCCACGCGGTCAGAGCAGGGCAGGGGCCGGTGCGCCCCCTGTGCTGCCCCCGCCTCCTGTGGGGCGTCCGAGGCACCGCGCCCCGGCGGACAGCGGCGGCTCCACCTCCGGACCTCGGGGGGCTGAATGGCAGCGTTCCCATCGCCTCCGCGATCATGACCTGCTGTCTGCTCCCATCAACGTGCCCCCTTCTCATCTCTTATTTTATGGAACATTTCCTGTGAGATTCTGCCAAAGACCTGCTTGTTTCAGTTACTTTGATTTTTCTTCTAAGAAAAGTGAAATTTATGGAAATCAAACTGGTTTTGACACGGGAGCCATAACAGATAAAAATTCCCATTCCTGAGCGGTTATAAATCACGGGTCTGACACTGCCTTTGGCGTGAACTGGAGCAGCTGTCCTTCGAGAGAACACAGGCGACAGCCCCAGCGCGCCGGCCGGGAGCGCGTGGGGCAGACAGCGCGGCGCGGGGTCCCTGGGAGTCCCTCCCCGAGCCCCAGTTCCGGCAGCCCCGTCGGCGCTGCTCCCTCTGAGCGCCCCTCCGGCCAGGGCGCCCACCGTGGGGCTGAGAGGGTCCCCTTGACATCTTCAGTCAGCCCATACGCCTTGCCAGAGGGCGTCAGAATGACAACATTTTTGCCCAAACTGCACATGCGGGTCCCTTGTCCCGCGGCCGTAGTCTGCACAGCAGAGGGAGCCTGCGGTGCTGCGCCGCGGGCCGTGCTGCGTGGGCCCTGCAAGAGAGAGCGGCCCCAGCCCGCGGCCTGCGCGGTGCGCTGTGGCAGAGAGAAAATGCCTTCTAAGCAGAAGCATTTTTCAAGCCTCCCTCCCCAGTTACCTCTCCGCGTGTTTCTTCCGCACTGCCCACCATCTCTGATCCCCAGATAATTGAGATGCACCTTTGCGGTGGTAAATGCTGCCATGGGGGCATCGCATCTTTGGCTGGCAGCCTCGCCGAGTAACACTATGAACCAGCACGGCCGTGGCGGTCAGGAGAACAGGCCAGAAGCCATTTTCCAGGGAGACTTCACATACTTTCCTCCAAGCTGCTCTGGCTTTTTAGGAGCTATAGACCTAGAGGCCTTTTGCAAAAGGAGGCCTTGGGTCAGGGGAGATTTTCTTTTTCTTTGATGGATTGGATTAAACAGAGGGTCTCCAGAGAGCCGGCCGGGCAAGAGCCGCGCATTGTGCTAGGTACTGAGGCTTCGAAGCTCTGGCCTGGAAAATGGGTGAGGGCCATTTGCTGAGTTTTATGCGTGCCTCTTACTGCGTCAGGCCCCCTACATCCATTCACGCACGGAACCCTCGAATTATAATCACAGTGGGGTAGGTAAGGACAGCTTTACAGTTGAGAAGACTGAAGCCTAGAAGGTGAAGTAACTTGCCCAACGTCACTAAGTTACTATAAACCCATTTATTTGTGCATTCCTCCATCACATAAAAAAAAAAAATCTATGGAGTGGCTATTGAGCACCAGGAAGTCACAACGTGAGGAAACAAAGATGGATGTGCTGTGGTCCTGCCCTCACAGAACTTATCACCCGGGCATAGGACAAGTAGGTCCACAATTACCATAGAGTTCTGCTAAGTGCCACGACAGACAGTCTGGTGAGTGTGGGTACAGAAGCCAGGTTGTGGTCGATGCGGTCGGGGGGACTCCGAATCCAGCTCCTTCCGAGCAGAGCCAGAGCCAGGGCGGCCTGCCCCTCGGCATCTCCACACGCTGTGGGAACCTCCGGGGTCTGGTGTCTGCATGCTCTCCTCCCCTCTGTCTCTGGGGGCAAACGGAGAGCATCGCTCATGGGAATTGTCCCAATGTCAGATGTGCAGCACACACTTGACTTGGATAGCCCTGCTGGCCATCTGTCATCATCCGGCCTCCACAAGCTGCTTCCCATTGGAATTCCTGGTCTTTAGTGCCATCACCCTCCCTGAAATGCGCTTCTGCAATTAGAGATGTCAGAGGTTGCTCCTCCCGCTCGCTCACTCCCACCCCCACCCAGCTAACAGGGACTCAACTTCAGAACCCAGTCTTTGCTTGGTTCTATCTCACTGTCAGTGTGTCACCACCTGTCCTTGGGTCCCCTCCTCCTCACCTAAGCAATTACAGCTGACACCTCCATGTCACCTGCCACAACCCTGGCCGCCCACTGCCACCAGCATGGCTTAACTAAAAAGCAAACCAAGTCTGCCATTTTCAAGCTCAAATATCTCTAATGACTTTCCTCTGCATATGAAATAAAATCCAGTTTTCTCAGTGTGGTTTATCAGGTTCTGCACAACCCATCCTCATCTGGTCCTTCCACTGCCTGCCCCAGCCACATAGACTGTCTTCTTAGAACTGAAATACACCTCCCTGCAGCTGGGGTGAGACCATCCCCTGCTTGTCAATATACATAACTCCTACTCATCCCACAAAATCCACTTTAATATTACCCCCTCTATAGATGCTTTCCTTTATTTCTCCAAAAGATCTAATCCCAGCCCCTTCTGAGATCCCCCAGCCCCTTGTTTATATCTTTACCTTAGTACTTGTCTTAATATATCAAACTCATCCTGAAGATATGTCTTCTGACTGGACACCAGCTCCTTGGGAACAAGGAATGTGTTTTATCTTTTACTCCCAACACCTAACCACAAGTCTGCCACCTATAAAGTGCTCAGTGAGTGTTAAGGCTGTGTCCCAGGATTTCCCCTCAGCCCAGTTGTTCTCCCTTCAGTTGGGTAACAGGAAGCAGAGACCCCAGCAGAGAGGAAACCCCGAAGCTCTTCCCTTTATCCTTGGTCATAATGGTCCGACTTCAAAATAAATGCTGTAACACATCTAGTCACCAGGCTTATCACACCATCAAAGGGTGTTTGATATTGTCTGCATAAGTGGAAAAAGAAAGAATACTTTTCTGCCATTGCAGCATGTGAGTGGTAGGCAAGCAGCCCCAGCACAGGAAAGTGAGCCAAGTAGCAGCAGCTCAGGTCACCTGCGTCCACTGCTGAATGGCATGAGGCTTTCCTCCAGACTGAGAACGTTTCCCCGCACAGAATGGCAACATACACCTCAATGGACTAATGTTCTGGAGGAAAACCCAGGAACACTAAGACTGACATTCGTGACTTGGAAAAGATGCATTTTTAGATTTTAAATGGCACTGCACACCTGAGGTAGTCTGCACTGAGAACAAAAACAATGAAGGGAGAAAAAAAGATTTTTTTTGACCCACATCTGCATTGTTCTACCTTTAAAGTACTTCAGTAATGATAAGCAGATGTCCAAATTACTTGATTCTCTTTAACAGGTGAGCTGGGAAAAAAAATCAGACAGAAAGGGATGAAGCAGAAGTTTTTAAAAATTCAGATTAGGAAATTGAAAATGCATAAAACTTCATCAAAAATCAGCTAGAGACTTGGAGACCCACATGGCTTGGGCCAATCTAACATACTGCAATACAAATTAAACCCATTGCTCATAAAATGGATCCAAAGCTTCCTACTGAATTGTATAAGTCTGCAGAAAAGGGGCTCTCTGTGGTGTCCCTGTCATCAAAAAAGGGGGGGGAGGATTTTTATAAATCTCAGTATCTTCCTAATTAAATAACCCTAACTTCAAACAGCTTAATTTTCATTTTAAGAAGAACTTTTTTCTCATTGACATTTTAGTTGGAACAGGTGCTTATTATGTTCACAGCCTTTAAGCCACTGGGAGTTTAAGCAACTGGATGCCAGAGCTAATCAGAAGGCATTTGCTCTCTTTTCTGTCTTCACTATCTGAAGCATAGTTTAAAGCTTGCCGGCCTATCTTGTAACTCATTAGTTTTTGGCATCCTCTGCAGCATATTGGCCAATCTGACTCATTCTTTCTTTGAGCACAATTAGCTGTACAAACAGATCTTTGAGCAGACCCCTCCACCCCAAAGGATTATGGAAGGTAGGAAATGCAGGTGATTATGGGAGTTTGCTTTGATACAGACATCCTGCTCTTCTGCTCACCCTTTGAACTAACTTTGATATGCGATAATTAAGAGGGATTCAACCCCTGGAGGAGAAGGCAGGGTGGGCTCCCCTCTTCTCTCCCTCTACCGCGTCCTTGTTTTGAACTATTGATCAAACAGATTTGAAGGGATTTGTTGAAGCCTGTGTGGCGTAAGGACGAAGGTAATGAGGGAGGGAGGAGGAGAGGCGAGGGGCGCATCTGGCTATAAATAGGCTCAGAAGGAACCTGCTGGTCAGACCTGGCTCTTCCTATTGCATACACCTTACTTAGACAATTTGCTTCTCTTTCAGAGAAAGTTACAGACCCACTAAGTTTCTATTTTGGCAAAAGCTCTACTGTGGTGTAGAGCAGCCCGGCTTCAGAGGAGTAGGGGGGACCCGGCAACTGAAGGATGGTGGTAGTGGTCCTGCTGGGGCTCAGCTGCTTCTGGGCTCCCCTGGGTGCTCTGGTTCTGGAATTCAACAACATCAAGAGCTCCGCTGACCTGCCAGGCGCTCGGAAGGTAAAGCGCAGCTGGGGAGGAGGGTGCTGTTCTTTCCTGGCTGGGGGGGTGCTGGCTTTAAGTTTAAGTGAGTGGTTCAGATTAACGTCTGAAGTATCCTATCTAAAAGGTCAGTTTAGGAACTGGGAAGAAGACCTGGTGGAATCCAGTAGCCTTAGCACTAACATATTAAATAAGCCATGTGGTTTTTCAGGGCACTGAGCTGTAAACCTGCCTCTGAATCAGGGAACAAACTCACATTTAGGAAGCTCTACCATGTGCCAGGTCTGTTGTGCAGAAAATCTCATTTAATGTTCCTCACGTGAGGTAGCCATCACACTTCCTGATTTTAATGAGGAAGATGAGACTCAGAGGTCGAGGACTGTAGCCAATACGGGAGTTTGAATTTAAACACCAAGTGCCACAGTGCATTGTCTGGTTGCCATCTTACTGCACAGAGTTGTTTTCCAGATTGTTTTATATACATACACGGAAAAGCACCAACTGTAGCTGAGAAAAATTGGTTTTTGGTATCTGTTTCTCTGCCAATGAGGACTCACTAAAAACCCAAGGACAGTTACCCAGGGTAAGGCTTACCAAGGTGCTGGTTGGTAGATGGATGCAGACTGACCTGAGCTAGAGTAAAAAATCAGAGAGGATAGCCACAAACACTACCATTATTTAAACTGTAGCACAGCTTCTGGAGGTAATAGATATCAAAGATCTCATAATCATCTGTAAGACACATGGAAAAACATTGTCTTCCAACTTCACAAGGAGCATAAGAAAATAGAAATCAGTTTCAAAAGCTGGAGTTTTTCTAACACAAATACCCTCTGCAGCACATAGGTTTCTTCACTGGTGCTTTGATCTCCTCCTTGGGGCAGAAAACCAATTCCACCAAAAACCTGAAATGCTGCCTTAGGGTTGTCACTGCATTCCAAGTGCCACTCTGATCTGGCCTCCTCCACTTCTCGCTTTGAATTTAAAGCTATCTTACATCCTGTTGGATTCCCTAGCTCTGTGATGATAGTTTTTCTTCACAGGGTTCACAGTGCTCGTCTGACAAGGACTGTAATGCCAGGAAGTTCTGCCTCAAGCCTCAAGATGAGAAGCCATTCTGTGCCACATGTCGCGGCCTCTGGCGGAGGTGCCAGCATAGTGCCGCGTGCTGCCCAGGGACGCTCTGCGTGAACGGTGAGCTATAAACCCTGGCAGGACTGCCTTGCTCCAATGAATGTTTTCTAAACTGAAGATCTCATAGACTAGACTGTTTCGAGATGGGCAGTCTCTTAAGGTTTTCCTGGATGCACACTTGAAGTGAATTTATGCGGCTGTCTCTTTTTGATGCAATAAAATAGTAACTTCCTGGCAACAATTTTTGCCTGAGACTTGGAGTTCATGATTTTAAAGGAAGGAATCAAGTTGGAATCTTTGAAATTCTTGCATTTTCATTTGGATTCCATTAATGACTTAACTACCTTCTTTGCTAGATGTGAGCCTGTAGATGTTTAGTGCCTTGTCCCAGAAATCTTGAAAGTCATACATAAACTCAAGGCAGAGGTACTGCCAATGTATGTGAGAGTATGATAATTAGCATGTCTGTGGTTCTAGTACTTGACGTTACTAACTACACCTGGTTGTCTCTCAGATGTTTGTACCTCGGTGGAAGATGCAATGCCAATACTGGAAAGGCAGACCGATGACCAAGAAGACACAGACACCCAAGAAACAACTGGGCATCCAACTCAGGAAAACAAACCCAAAAGGAAGCCAAATATTAAGAAAGCACAAGGCAGTAAGGGTAAGAACAGCATTCTGAACACATTGTTTTCAAAAAAGACACTCCTCCTAGACTCTTGAGGATAGGTGGAAACTGACTTTATGCCTCTCTAACCCAGAAACACACAGGAAGGATGTCCTGTTTCTCTGCAGAAGCAGCTTGGAGATCACGTAGGGAGTAGCATGTGGTAGTCAGCAAGCCAAAGGACAGGACTGGCCTTAACAATGGACTGGTTAGCAAGAAAACCTTTAATTGAATTTTACACATTCTTTTAAAAGTACAAACTTCAGTAAGATGACGCTTTTTGCAAAACTGTAGTTTCAAATTCCAATCTTTGACATGAAACAGCTACCATGTTTGAAATTGGTGGACTGGCTATTCTTGTATCTTCAGGTTAACTGGCTTCTTTTTAAGTAATGGTCTCTCTTTGTGTCAGTATCAACCCCGTTTAATAAAACATGAGTGATACTTCAATTCTCAAGCTTGGAAATCCCATCTTTCTTTGATGAATGTTTTAACTTGGTAAAACAACGAATTCTTAGGTAGGGCTGACTGACATTTCCATGTCATTACTGCTGTTAGTGTAAGATCTAGCTCTAGGAGACTGGCATGCTTTGTGTATTTTTACTCTCTGGCCTCAGCCCCGTACCCCATGCCCTTCTCCCAGCAGCAGTCCCCACATGCCCCTTACCCTGTGCCAATATTGTTACAGGACAAGAGGGAGAAAGCTGTCTTAGAACTTTGGACTGCGGTGCTGGACTTTGCTGTGCTCGTCATTTTTGGACTAAAATTTGCAAACCAGTCCTACTGGAGGGACAGGTCTGCTCTAGGAGAGGGCATAAAGATTCTGCTCAAGCTCCAGAAATCTTCCAGCGTTGTGACTGTGGTCCTGGACTGGTATGTCGGAATCAAGTGACTGGCAAACGGCAACATGCACGGTTAAGAGTATGCCAAAAAATCTAAAATGGCTGTGACTATCTCAGAAATAAAGACGACACCTTGTTGTATTCAACCATAAATCTCAGGCATTAATTTTAAAATCTTGTCATACAGACACCTTTCAAATCAAATCTTGTAGTAATTGAAATTGAGCTAGAGAACTGTGAGATGCCGCCTTGGGAATCGGTGGAAATTAGCTTTGGCCTTTTGTCTATTTCTGCAGAAAAGTAATGTGCTTGCATAACAAAACAGTTAATTATGATCTAGGGACTCGGTTAGTTCAAGTATATCTTGAAGTAATTCCTGGTGAAGTTCTGGTATCTGACAGTCACTTGGAGAGAAAAAAGGTGATGGTGTCTGCAGTTAAGTGAATTCTTATACCTTGCCAGTGAAATTAGCAAATACTGTATTTGTCCTTCAAAAACCTTAGTGTTTATTTTCTTTTATTTCTTTGAACGGAATGTCATTCTACTACAAAATAATGTGGTTAATAAACAAGACTTACAACCTATCTTCTGCCCATATAGTCCTTTCTATGTTACAGACATTAAAAAAAATCAGACAGAAAGGGATGAAGCAGAAGTTTTTAAAAATTCAGATTAGGAAATTGAAAATGCATAAAACTTCATCAAAAATCAGCTAGAGACTTGGAGACCCACATGGCTTGGGCCAATCTAACATACTGCAATACAAATTAAACCCATTGCTCATAAAATGGATCCAAAGCTTCCTACTGAATTGTATAAGTCTGCAGAAAAGGGGCTCTCTGTGGTGTCCCTGTCATCAAAAAAGGGGGGGGAGGATTTTTATAAATCTCAGTATCTTCCTAATTAAATAACCCTAACTTCAAACAGCTTAATTTTCATTTTAAGAAGAACTTTTTTCTCATTGACATTTTAGTTGGAACAGGTGCTTATTATGTTCACAGCCTTTAAGCCACTGGGAGTTTAAGCAACTGGATGCCAGAGCTAATCAGAAGGCATTTGCTCTCTTTTCTGTCTTCACTATCTGAAGCATAGTTTAAAGCTTGCCGGCCTATCTTGTAACTCATTAGTTTTTGGCATCCTCTGCAGCATATTGGCCAATCTGACTCATTCTTTCTTTGAGCACAATTAGCTGTACAAACAGATCTTTGAGCAGACCCCTCCACCCCAAAGGATTATGGAAGGTAGGAAATGCAGGTGATTATGGGAGTTTGCTTTGATACAGACATCCTGCTCTTCTGCTCACCCTTTGAACTAACTTTGATATGCGATAATTAAGAGGGATTCAACCCCTGGAGGAGAAGGCAGGGTGGGCTCCCCTCTTCTCTCCCTCTACCGCGTCCTTGTTTTGAACTATTGATCAAACAGATTTGAAGGGATTTGTTGAAGCCTGTGTGGCGTAAGGACGAAGGTAATGAGGGAGGGAGGAGGAGAGGCGAGGGGCGCATCTGGCTATAAATAGGCTCAGAAGGAACCTGCTGGTCAGACCTGGCTCTTCCTATTGCATACACCTTACTTAGACAATTTGCTTCTCTTTCAGAGAAAGTTACAGACCCACTAAGTTTCTATTTTGGCAAAAGCTCTACTGTGGTGTAGAGCAGCCCGGCTTCAGAGGAGTAGGGGGGACCCGGCAACTGAAGGATGGTGGTAGTGGTCCTGCTGGGGCTCAGCTGCTTCTGGGCTCCCCTGGGTGCTCTGGTTCTGGAATTCAACAACATCAAGAGCTCCGCTGACCTGCCAGGCGCTCGGAAGGTAAAGCGCAGCTGGGGAGGAGGGTGCTGTTCTTTCCTGGCTGGGGGGGTGCTGGCTTTAAGTGTAAGTGAGTGGTTCAGATTAACGTCTGAAGTATCCTATCTAAAAGGTCAGTTTAGGAACTGGGAAGAAGACCTGGTGGAATCCAGTAGCCTTAGCACTAACATATTAAATAAGCCATGTGGTTTTTCAGGGCACTGAGCTGTAAACCTGCCTCTGAATCAGGGAACAAACTCACATTTAGGAAGCTCTACCATGTGCCAGGTCTGTTGTGCAGAAAATCTCATTTAATGTTCCTCACGTGAGGTAGCCATCACACTTCCTGATTTTAATGAGGAAGATGAGACTCAGAGGTCGAGGACTGTAGCCAATACGGGAGTTTGAATTTAAACACCAAGTGCCACAGTGCATTGTCTGGTTGCCATCTTACTGCACAGAGTTGTTTTCCAGATTGTTTTATATACATACACGGAAAAGCACCAACTGTAGCTGAGAAAAATTGGTTTTTGGTATCTGTTTCTCTGCCAATGAGGACTCACTAAAAACCCAAGGACAGTTACCCAGGGTAAGGCTTACCAAGGTGCTGGTTGGTAGATGGATGCAGACTGACCTGAGCTAGAGTAAAAAATCAGAGAGGATAGCCACAAACACTACCATTATTTAAACTGTAGCACAGCTTCTGGAGGTAATAGATATCAAAGATCTCATAATCATCTGTAAGACACATGGAAAAACATTGTCTTCCAACTTCACAAGGAGCATAAGAAAATAGAAATCAGTTTCAAAAGCTGGAGTTTTTCTAACACAAATACCCTCTGCAGCACATAGGTTTCTTCACTGGTGCTTTGATCTCCTCCTTGGGGCAGAAAACCAATTCCACCAAAAACCTGAAATGCTGCCTTAGGGTTTTCACTGCATTCCAAGTGCCACTCTGATCTGGCCTCCTCCACTTCTCGCTTTGAATTTAAAGCTATCTTACATCCTGTTGGATTCCCTAGCTCTGTGATGATAGTTTTTCTTCACAGGGTTCACAGTGCTCGTCTGACAAGGACTGTAATGCCAGGAAGTTCTGCCTCAAGCCTCAAGATGAGAAGCCATTCTGTGCCACATGTCGCGGCCTCTGGCGGAGGTGCCAGCATAGTGCCGCGTGCTGCCCAGGGACGCTCTGCGTGAACGGTGAGCTATAAACCCTGGCAGGACTGCCTTGCTCCAATGAATGTTTTCTAAACTGAAGATCTCATAGACTAGACTGTTTCGAGATGGGCAGTCTCTTAAGGTTTTCCTGGATGCACACTTGAAGTGAATTTATGCGGCTGTCTCTTTTTGATGCAATAAAATAGTAACTTCCTGGCAACAATTTTTGCCTGAGACTTGGAGTTCATGATTTTAAAGGAAGGAATCAAGTTGGAATCTTTGAAATTCTTGCATTTTCATTTGGATTCCATTAATGACTTAACTACCTTCTTTGCTAGATGTGAGCCTGTAGATGTTTAGTGCCTTGTCCCAGAAATCTTGAAAGTCATACATAAACTCAAGGCAGAGGTACTGCCAATGTATGTGAGAGTATGATAATTAGCATGTCTGTGGTTCTAGTACTTGACGTTACTAACTACACCTGGTTGTCTCTCAGATGTTTGTACCTCGGTGGAAGATGCAATGCCAATACTGGAAAGGCAGACCGATGACCAAGAAGACACAGACACCCAAGAAACAACTGGGCATCCAACTCAGGAAAACAAACCCAAAAGGAAGCCAAATATTAAGAAAGCACAAGGCAGTAAGGGTAAGAACAGCATTCTGAACACATTGTTTTCAAAAAAGACACTCCTCCTAGACTCTTGAGGATAGGTGGAAACTGACTTTATGCCTCTCTAACCCAGAAACACACAGGAAGGATGTCCTGTTTCTCTGCAGAAGCAGCTTGGAGATCACGTAGGGAGTAGCATGTGGTAGTCAGCAAGCCAAAGGACAGGACTGGCCTTAACAATGGACTGGTTAGCAAGAAAACCTTTAATTGAATTTTACACATTCTTTTAAAAGTACAAACTTCAGTAAGATGACGCTTTTTGCAAAACTGTAGTTTCAAATTCCAATCTTTGACATGAAACAGCTACCATGTTTGAAATTGGTGGACTGGCTATTCTTGTATCTTCAGGTTAACTGGCTTCTTTTTAAGTAATGGTCTCTCTTTGTGTCAGTATCAACCCCGTTTAATAAAACATGAGTGATACTTCAATTCTCAAGCTTGGAAATCCCATCTTTCTTTGATGAATGTTTTAACTTGGTAAAACAACGAATTCTTAGGTAGGGCTGACTGACATTTCCATGTCATTACTGCTGTTAGTGTAAGATCTAGCTCTAGGAGACTGGCATGCTTTGTGTATTTTTACTCTCTGGCCTCAGCCCCGTACCCCATGCCCTTCTCCCAGCAGCAGTCCCCACATGCCCCTTACCCTGTGCCAATATTGTTACAGGACAAGAGGGAGAAAGCTGTCTTAGAACTTTGGACTGCGGTGCTGGACTTTGCTGTGCTCGTCATTTTTGGACTAAAATTTGCAAACCAGTCCTACTGGAGGGACAGGTCTGCTCTAGGAGAGGGCATAAAGATTCTGCTCAAGCTCCAGAAATCTTCCAGCGTTGTGACTGTGGTCCTGGACTGGTATGTCGGAATCAAGTGACTGGCAAACGGCAACATGCACGGTTAAGAGTATGCCAAAAAATCTAAAATGGCTGTGACTATCTCAGAAATAAAGACGACACCTTGTTGTATTCAACCATAAATCTCAGGCATTAATTTTAAAATCTTGTCATACAGACACCTTTCAAATCAAATCTTGTAGTAATTGAAATTGAGCTAGAGAACTGTGAGATGCCGCCTTGGGAATCGGTGGAAATTAGCTTTGGCCTTTTGTCTATTTCTGCAGAAAAGTAATGTGCTTGCATAACAAAACAGTTAATTATGATCTAGGGACTCGGTTAGTTCAAGTATATCTTGAAGTAATTCCTGGTGAAGTTCTGGTATCTGACAGTCACTTGGAGAGAAAAAAGGTGATGGTGTCTGCAGTTAAGTGAATTCTTTTACCTTGCCAGTGAAATTAGCAAATACTGTATTTGTCCTTCAAAAACCTTAGTGTTTATTTTCTTTTATTTCTTTGAACGGAATGTCATTCTACTACAAAATAATGTGGTTAATAAACAAGACTTACAACCTATCTTCTGCCCATATAGTCCTTTCTATGTTACAGACATTTATTTTGTATATGTGGGTACATACTAAAGTGGTTTTGCTTAGGGAGGCTCTTTCTGATGGATTACCACTTGCTACAGATTTTATTTAAGAGTTAAACCACACAACTGTTCTTAGGTTTTAAGTATGTATTATGAAGTTGGATATGGGTCACAGAAAATTTAAGTTTATGAATTTCCCTAATTTCTAAAAAATACTGAAACATCTTCCAGAGGCTAGTCTCTCGGTTTACCTTCTTGATTAGTTTGTAATGAGAGACTAGGAGGAAAGTAGTGGGGTAATGTGGTTTGTAGCATAAGGACAGAAAATGAGAAAGTAAAAATTCTCATTAAAAATTTGCCATAATCTCATCTCTTAAGTCTCTCTAATAGACCCTTAGTAAAGTGTGATCACAAATCTAATATGTAAATTTAAACATTTTTCTAATAAAATAAGAACAAGATCATCTGATAATGATATAAGGGGGTTTATTGACTACAATGCAAGCTAAAGCATGAAGAAGAAACAATCACTTAAAATCACCAAAGACCCTTACATAGCAAAGGTTAAGTTAAG